CATTTAGGTACATACATTTACCAATTTTGGTGATAAATAGGCATTTTGTATTAGTTTTTGTATAACGCCTGAACAAAAACAAAGGGTAATATTTTGGTGTTATACATAGATTTCGAATATAAAAAATATATAATTTAACTAATTAAGACATGACAAAAAAACTGAGGTATGTCTCGTTTCTGTCGGGCCTGGGTCACAGATGACCGTTCTTCTTTCATCAAAATCGGTTCAGTGGTTTAGAAGTAAAAGCAAGACAGACAGACAGAGTTACTTTTGCATTTATAATATTAAGTATAGAAGTATAGATTTAAGTGTGGCGGCGCCGCGGCGTGGAAGGAATTGTCCTGTGGCCAACTTAATTCACAGCTATCCAATGATAGCTTATAAATATATTTACATATTCTTGTTCCTCTAACTAGGCAATGAAACAATGTTGGTTTTAAACATCAAATCGAAATGTTTACTGATAACGTAAGCCATTAGCAATTCAAATGACCTTCGCGCTTCGTAGGTACTCGTGTACCTAAAAAGTCAAGTTTACATTGTCATCGTCATCACGTTATTTGCATTATTGCCACACTTACGAGCAAAACATATTTGCTTTCATATTTTGAGTACGGATACTGTTTTTCATTAAAGATCTGTTGTTGGTTGTTTGATATGAGCACCAATGGTTACTTAACATTTTTAGTAAACTGTAACCTGGTAATGGCTGAATTGTTGTCACCGTATTTTGAAATTTAAGGAGATAAAAATGTAAAAAAAAAATTAAAAATATTTTTTCTCATACTAACCAATTAAAGGGTTAAGACTTCATCAAGTGTGTGTTATATCAAAAAGTTTTATCTCAGTGTCAATACCCAATATTATCCAATAAACCGCCAACATTTCATTCATCGTTAAAAGTCCAAGATGACTGGACGATCAAAGAAACCGTGGTGGCTTTTGCAGTTTGCGGTCTGCAGTTAATCTTGGACTTTTAGGCTATGTTCGTAGACATCGTAGTATTTACATGTACAACTGATCACATGAGCGCGCATTAACGCGCGTCAGCGAGAGTTGACGCGGCGCTCAGAGAACGAAATTGCTTCCACAGAGCGGCAAGCTCAGCCGAAACATTCCGTCTGAAACTCAGCGCTTTAGGTGCCGAAGCCGACTTTTACCTTAACGAGTAACGAAATGGCTTCCACAGGACGGCAAGTTCAGCCGAAACATTCCGTCCATTGACTTAAATTGAATTCTGACATTATTGTAACTGAGACATTATTATGAACTTATTGTATTAATTAATTAGATTCCAACTACTGTATATAAAATATTTGCATGCATTCTTTAATGAAGCAGAACATGAGCACATTTCAACATGTAACACCGATATTTAATTATGTATACCATGTTTTAAGCAAATAAATAAATTATCTTATCTTATCTTATCGTCTGAAACTCAGCGCTTTAGGCGCCGAAGCCGACCTTTACCTTAACGAGTAACGAAATTGCTTCCACAGGGCGGCAAGTTCAGCCGAAACATTCCGTCTGAAACTCAGCGCTTTAGGCGCCGAAGTCGACTTTTACTTTAACGAGTAATGAAATTGCTTCCACAGGGCGGCAAGCTCAGCCGAAACATTCCGTCTGAAGCTCAGCGCGTTAGGCGCCGAAGCCAGCGCGGAGATAGCCGCGCGCGGCGGGGTGGGGCTAGAGGGGGCGGCGGCGCGCGCGGGCGCGGGGGTCGTGGGTGCGTACGCTCGCAGCGCCGGCGGGCAGCGGGCCCGGGCGCACCTGGCCGCTGCACGGGCGCCCGACCACTGGCATCATGCGCTGCCGCTGCTGGCGTATCATATCGCGCATCAATTGTATCCTTTACTGCTAATATGTAACTTAAAATAAAACGAAGAATGAAAACTTAGGACGACAACACATCAATCTAAATCCTACGGCATATTATGTAGTTGTAATAGGTGCTTTTTTGCAACAAAAATGTATAGTCTGATTTGCTGTAAATTGCGTGCGAAAGTGCCGCGAAGAGACCTGAGTATTTTTTTTTCGTTGGGAAATGCTTTGCGCATACCCACTGGCCGATGGTCGGTGGCGACTGGCGGTCAGTGGATTATGTGGGGAAAGGCGGGGCCTACCCACTAAAACCCGACGGTGTCCTCCGGGGCATTGACATAGGCGAGTTATTATACTAAAATTGAACACTCGTCCGTGCCTCAGAGATCCTGCCTCATGTTTCACTTCTTGTACGCTTCTTCTTCACCTAATGGGGTGTACAATAGTATACAAAAACAATAGAAAAATACAAAAAGCTACGAACATTATAGAGGTTAGAAATGTTTTCTTAGCACATAAATAGATGGGCAGTGAGCGGCGGTTTCGAGTTCGGATGGTGGTTGGCTTCAATTAACCAACCTCGCCTTGTGCAGAGCTACGTTGCGATGCTGGAGCCTTGGTGCGAATGGAATGCCTGCTCACGTGAGTTTTTTANATCCAAAATTTGGTCTTCATAGTTCACCAAAAATTTTCACTTCATGTTGAAATTGTCTTTAGTTTATTTAAATTTGGGTCCGTATTCAAATTCACGTATTTTTGAATTCACGAATTTACCACATAGTTTTATTATTGATTGATTGCGCAGCGCTGCCCGTGGGCAGCACTGGCAGGGTCGCCATGTAATGTGTGACGTTCGGGAGACACAATAAAACAGTTAGATGTGCGCACTGTAGGTTTATTCGTCCGAATGAAGATTATCCTAAGCTTATATACTAGTGGTTTATGCCTAATATGGGGAAAGGATGCGTACACACTACAATAATATCATTGTTTACTGCTAATAACTTTAATAAAATTACTACGTCAAAAATTACGGACGACAGCACATAAATTTAAACCCTACGGCATCTTATGTAGTTGTAAGAGGTGGCTTTTGCAACAAAAATAATATGTAGTCTGATGTGCGCTGTCGCCTGTACTATCGGCCACAGTGTTAACTATCCATTTCCGTTTTTGCTCTCGCTCTCATCAAATGGTGATTATTTGCGATAGAACGAGACGACATGACCGGCAATGGGTAGTTAACACTGTTGCCGATATTACATTGCGTGCGAATGGGTATGCGGTGGCTTTAATTATGTTTCACTTTGTTGCACGCCTCGCGAAGTCTTTTTAATTTTTACTTCATCAAATTAGGTAATAGGTATTAGAGCAGTACACAAAAACAATAGCCCAATACAAAAATTCTTCGAATATTTTATAGAGGAGAGATGATTTTCTTAGCACACAAATAGATGGGCAGTGAGCGGCGGTTTCGAGTTCGGATGGTGGTTGGCTTCAATTAACCAACCTCGTCTTGTGCAGAGCTACGTTGCGATGCTGGAGCCTTGGTGCGAATGGAATGCCTGCTCACGTGAGTTTTTTTAATTTCCTAACTAGTTTCTACTATTATTACCATACTAGTCCCCTCAACACGAAACTATTTGTTCTTTCGTAGGGCAATTCATCTTGGGCTTATCTCTGCTGGATCTCGAAGACTCTGAGAGCGCTTATACCGCGTTCTGCAAAGCGGCTAAAGGCGTCAGCACGGAACCTTTCTTGAGGCAGCTGGTTGCCGCCCCCGATGCTCGGCTAACACAACATCAGGCGTTGGTGTTATATTACATGAAAGTAAGGAAAAAAAACATTTGATAAGTTTTTGGGAACTTCTCTAGTTGGTACACGTAGGAGGCAGACAAAAATTCTGCATCTACAATCGGCTATCACAACCTCAAGAAAGTGTTGTTGTATTACAATGTGAAACTAAATGGCCGTATTTCTGTTTTATGTTGTAGGTCATAAAACTCTTCGAAATACACGACGCGGGTGCTTGCGTGGTTCGTTTGGCTGAAACCGCCATCAGTATCGCCGACAAGGATGATCCGAATTTGGTAAGTCTTAAAATTCTTTACAGGTGTAAATTACCAATAAAATTATTTTAAAAGCAAGTGAGTGAAAACGTGTATCCATGTAACTCCTTGTGTGAAACCGTGTTCGTCATCGTGTTCGATGTGTCGTCATGGGGATATGTTTATTAATGTGTTTTAAATACAAAGCTTTAAGGCCGGGTAACAGAGAAAATGGCGAAAATGAGGTTTTCATTTTTCATTTTTGAGGTACTAAACAGTAAAATAAAAGGCTAAGATTTTTTTTGGGCATAGTTGAGGATATTTTCTAGGGCTATTAACGGATGGAAACACGATTTGATGAAGTTGACTCGATAGAATAAATTCCCAAAGTTACCTCTATTCGTTTTCTAATTATGGTTTTATTTTTAAAATAAGCTATTTGAGATTCTGAATCTTTTACTAAACTAAAGTTCAGAAATATTAGAACACGAGCCCTGCACTATGTTACGACCGGCACATGCGGCCGTACTGTGTATCTTCACGCGTCAGTGGATATCGGAAGAAATAAAATACATTGCGCAGTAGTTACGCATGACATAAAGTGGTTGCTAACTAAATCGTCAATGTACAACGTGTTTGAATTTTTATCACCACTAATTTCGATATCGCAGTAAATGTCACGGCACTGAATTCGTTCGTAAAAATGTTTAGTTTTTTTTATTTATAAGCAAAATACCAATGGATTTGCAATACTTACATGTGGTAACGGCCGTGTGGTGACGGCAGAGTAGAATACATTTGTCATCAACCCTACTCTTCCCGCGGGTGTCGTAAGAGGCGACTTAGGGACTACACATCAAACAGAGAACGGGCAGCAGCGCTCTCTGAAAAACATCAATCTTTTAAACTGCGATCTCCAACCCGCCTGCCAAGCGTGGAGATTATGGCAAAACCCTCCACTTAAGTGGAGGAGGCTCATAGTCCAGCAGTGGACTGTAAAGGGCTGTTGATGACATGTGGTAAATGACTTCATTGTTCCTGTAGTTCTTCGTTTCACTTATGTTATTGCACGTTACGACGCATTATCCAACAATATCGGAGAACATTTCCTCAGTACGACTGAATCGCGACTAACCTGGCGTCGCGGGCGATGTTCGTTTCTGGGCATATCGCGGAGACACGCGCCACGCCCCCGTTTCACATCTTTTCCCTTCTATGATCTGAGGTGTTGACCAAGTTCAACATTGTGTTCGATGTGTCGTCATGGGGACATGTTTATAAATGTGTTTTAAATACAAAGATTTATAACCTTCCGACATGGTCTTGTAGTATGCGCATGTTCGCACGCAACAGCAGATTTCTTGGTGCTCCCCGAAGAAATCTGCCGTGCGGAGGCAGCGCGTCTGCAGCCGCACTGCAACTGCTGTCGCTAGGTTTGAGAATAGTAGTGTTGTACATTTAGTTGTACGATGGACTCTGACGAAGAAACACTGCTCTTAGTGTTACTATTAAAACGAAAAAGGATTTTAGGCAGAAAAAATACGTAAACGCAGCAGTCACTAGCCGGTCGATGAACTGATGCGTGGCCGCAGCGCGGGGTAGCGCTACAATTGCGCGTTTTTTAGGGTTCCGTAGCCAAATGGCAAAAAACGGAACCCTTATAGATTCATCATGTCTGTCTGTCCGTCCGTCCGTCTGTCCGTCCGTATGTCACAGCCATTTTTTTCCGAAACTAAGAGCTACTGTTGAAACTTGGTAAGTAGATGTATTCTGTGAACCGCATTAAGATTTTGATGCAAAAATAAAAAAATAATAATAAATATTGGGCCCCATACAATAGAACTGAAACTCAAAAAATTTTTTTTCGTCAAACACATACGTGTGGGGTATCTATGGATAGGTCTAGGTAAAATGTTATCGAGGTTTCTAAAATACTTTTTTTCTAAACCGAATAGTTTGCGTGACAGACGCTTCCAAAGTGGAAAAAAGTTGGTCCCCCCCCCCCCCCTAACTTCTAAAATAAGAAAACGAAAAATCTATAAAAACATATGATGTATATTACTCTAAAAACTACCAACGAAAATTGTTTTGAACGAGATCTAGTAAGTAGTTTTTTTAATACCTCGTAAATCGTAAACCGCTTATTACCGCGTAATCTTTCATACTAATAACTTAAATAAAAAATAATAATTTTAATTTCATAAATCAATGGTACGGAACCCTCGGTGCGCGAGTCCGACTCGCACTTGGCCGGTTTTTTACATAGGTTTTCAAAGACACGCTGACGTCGCGCGGAACTTTGCGGCAAAGAAGGCGCCCTTATTGTGAATGACGTATATGAAGTTACTTTTCCTTGGCAGGCGATGTTCCAATGGCTGGTATTCAAGTGGCACCTTTCGGGAGGCCGCGTGGAGCGCGCGCTGGCCGCCGCCGCCGCCAGCCCCGCGCCCACCGCGCGCGCCGCCGCCGCCGCCACGCTGCTCACCACGCTGGGTAATACAAAAATGCGTCCGGATAAAGCTGGACATAGTTAGGCTTTTTGATTGCGTGTCCGGCCAAAATAAACGGTGTCCGGCTTGTCCGGCTTTTAATATTTAGCAAACGAGCGCGAGCCACCAAATACACGACTAGGGTTGCCAGGTGTCTGGTGAGCTACTACATTAATTGTGACATTTTTTTTTATTGACACTTTTCACATATTATACAACTGTACAGTGGCGGACTTCATGTCCGGCTTTTATTGTAAAATGTCCGGCCAAATGAAGCACAGAGTCCGGCTTTTGTGTTTTTGGACCTGGCAACCTGAACTGGAATAGATACGAGACTATTCTCACCTCTCGTTCACACCGCTGCAACTCCAATAGCCAGGATCTACAGCTTAGCCGCCAATACAAACCATACTAGTGAAGGTTAAGTTTGTCACGGGGGAAAGTTAAACTGTCATTGGACCCGCAACGAATTAATCAGAAGAACATAGGAGGATATAGCTTCGGGAAGCTTCGCGAAATCTTCTCGTCCAAAATACCGCAGTGTCTCCCTTAAAACTAATCTTTGTGTGTTGCCAGCGGTGACATTCGGAATAGAACGTGGCCCTAATATTTTTTTCTTTCAGAGCACGTAGAATTTTGTCCAATGACCCCAAGCTACCCAACCTTATCGCTCGCGCGTAATTATGTTGCTGTCGCGCTCGCACACTCACTGCGGGCGCCCGTCGCACAGTCGCGACTTTTCTTTTGTTTAGCCTATTCGTTGAATGAGGGCATGGACATTTTGGGAGTTTTTTGTAATGAAGAAAACCATCACGTCATCGCATTATTTTCGTTTCAGCATCGCGCAAGCAACTGGGTGCTTTAGTGAAATGCGCGGCGCTGGGCGCGGAGGCGGAGCGCGCGGCGGCGGCGCGCGCCAAGTTGCACGACGCGCACGGACACAACCCCTATTACGACTTCCTCTACGCGCTGCACGTCTCGCGACACCACTACCGCAAGGGTGAGCTCAGCAGCCGTGTGGCGTGTTTACGATTATTAAGACACTAGCGGCCGCACGCGACTTCGTACCCGTGGATCCCGTTTTAGCCCCTTAGGGGTTGAATTTTACAAAATCCTGTCTTAGTGAGCACTTACGTTCTAAAAGAAACCCTCATGTAAAATTTGACACTCCTAGCACTTGTAGTTTCTGAGATTACGTGATGAGTGAGTGAGTCAGTCAATTAGTGACCTTTCGCTTTTATAGATATTGATTGTTGTGCACGCACACGTGCTTTTCCTGCAGTTTTTGCGTATAGTTAAGAACATGCTATCGTGCTGCTGGTTCTGCAAATAAGTTCAACTTCGGGGCGTGCATAAATATAATTTTGAAATTGCACTTCGCAGCGGCAGCAGTGATGTACGAACGGGCGTCGCGCTGCGCTGCGGAGCGCGGCAACGACTCGAGCGGGCGCCGCAAGTGGCTCGCGGCCGCGCTCACGTGCCTGCGCCTGGCGCGGCCCGAGCACGCCTTCCTGGCGCGCCCGCCGCCGCCGCACCACGCGCCCGCCGCGCTGCAGGTACTGTAGTACACCCGCAGGCGCGCGTGGCTCGCGGCCGCGCTCACGTGCCTGCGCCTGGCGCGGCCCGAGCACGCCTTCCTGGCGCGCCCGCCGCCGCCGCACCACGCGCCCGCCGCGCTGCAGGTACTGTAGTACACCCGCAGGCGCGCGTGGCTCGCGGCCGCGCTCACGTGCCTGCGCCTGGCGCGGCCCGAACACTAATTATCTGCTATACTCTCGACTCTCTAAAGCACAACATTTATAAAAATTTTGCTGCGGTAATGCACTCCAGGTAACAGTGTGTGATGCTCATTGCTCATAGTGATTTTCGATACAGACATACAGAGCCCCGTATACGTTATACATAAATTATGGAAAGAAAACAACCAGACCAACACAAACAAATATGTATGCAATTTTAGTATGATATTTTTATTTATTAATAAACAAAAAGACTGAACAAAATTGATGCGTGTACTGATTAATGTAATTAACCACATGCAAAGCTTTGTGAATTGCAACAACTATAATTTATTATCCAAGCTCTAAATAATCGCTACTACGAGTAACTGATCATAAAATGTTTTTCCAATCGCTCAAGCTCCCGAGGATCTACCGATAGGTCGGGTGACGTAATCTTGAAATTCTTTTAGCCGGCGCGGAACTTCCGGAAGGTCGGGTGACGCCACGCCTCTTTGAACCGTGTTTACTTTGGCAGTTATATTCTATATTTATTCGATTCTAAAATATTATATGGAGATAACACATGATTTTAAACGTCAAGTCAATTTGACAAGTCTGACAAATTTGTATTTTGCTAAAATATTTGTTTCAAAGATTGATTTCAAACTTGTATAAACGTGAAAATAAAGTTGGTTTTATGGGCTTGTTAAATAATGTGTATGATATTATGAACACGTAAGTGATTATGGTGTAATTGTGTATGAAAGCGTTTGTTTACATCTCTGCTGGATTCTAAAAAATCAAGGTATACCATCGTTCAACTGGCTTATGGTTTCCAACATGGCTAAAATCTGTGGGTCTAGACAAAGTGCCATTATAATCGCAAACCAGTCGAGAAGTGGTCGAAAAGACCCTTTTTTGTATGGAATTTGACGGATTCGATTTTCGATTCGATCAAAAAGTGCGTTTTGTCTAGGGGGGCTGAACCAGCGATCCGGTATTGACGGTGGCGCCCCACTGTCAATGTCATCGACAGGACAGTCCAGTATTTTGGAACTATATACAGTGTGAGTCACGTTAAAGTGTACATATGAAAATAGATGAAACTAGACCTATTTTTATCGACAAAAAAGAGGTCAAAAATTTTTTGAGATTTTTTTTTTATTTTTTATAGAATTTTTTTTCTTCCAATTACTTATTGTAAAGAAAACGTAATAACTTTTAAACTAAGCGGTATATCCTGATAAAATAAAAACAGTATTATTGCTAAATAATAGGCAATACTAAAACAATACAAAAAATACACAAAAAATGCCAAAAAATAATAAAAAATGATGCTTTTTGAAAAAAAACTGCTTACAAATTCGTATTTTTTTGGTTATTTGATAAATTTCTAAAAAAAATGCCCCTATAACAGATAGTTTTTATTACTTTTTATTATTCTCTATCGTATTACTTTTGTAAAACCAAAAATCACATGTTCTCTATCCCTATCACAACATTTGCTATGATCGTTTGAACAAAGGCCTGCCACCACATTTTTCTCCGCTACAGGTAGAGACAATTTTAATTTTAACTTAAATGCTTATTTTACTTCGAAATCTTTTGTTTTTATTTGAAATCTAACTTGTCTTTATCAAAATTACAAATCTAGAGCCATTTTCAGTTTCGTTGTTAACGAAGCGTTGAATGGCGCGCCCGGAGAGGCTTAGTTCAAACGATCATTGCAAACGTTGTGATAGGGATAGAGACATGCGATTTTTGGTTTTACAAAAGTTATACGATAGAGAATAATAAAAAGTAATAAAAACCACCTGTTATAGGGGCATTTTTTGGAGAAATTTATCAAATAACCAAAAAAATAAGAATTTTTAAGCAATTTTTTTTCAAAAAGTATCATTTTTTTGGCATTTTCTAGGTATTTCATGTATTTTTTTAGTATCGCCCGTTATTTTGCGTTATTACTGTTTTTATTTTATCAGGATATACCGCTTAGTTTAAAAGTTATTACGTTTTCTTTACAATAAGTAATTGGAAGAAAAAAAATTAAATAATAAATAAAAAAAAATCTCAAATTTTTTTTTACCTCTTTTTTATCGATAAAAATAGGTCTACTTTCATATATTTTCATATGTACACTTTAATTTAACGTGACAAACACTGTATATTAAGGACCGGGCGGACTATGCAGCCACAGTTCTATTTCCGTTTTTTCTCTCGATCTCATCAAATGGTGGTTCTTTGCGACAAAAGAAGACGACATGACCGGAAATGGGCAGCTAGAACTCTGGCCGATTGAACCCAGAGCCGGTACAACCATGAAGCTACAGATAAAAATGGAGGGCAGAGTTTGGAACAAAACTTGAGTCAAATACCTACTTATATCTATCTCGCTCTCTGCGGCCCTACCTCTCTTTTTAGTGTGAACTGTAGTATTGCTATCTTCTGATTTAAATCTCCTTGTAAATTCTTCGAAATAGCCAATACACTAACCAAAGATGTGGAAGATATCACCTAGTACACGTTCATAACTTCCCGTTGCGTAGAACAGTAGGGTTATAATAAGTATTTGGTCCACTGGTTGTATGGCATTTGGTGAGGGGTTTCAAAGAGCTTCCAAATTATGAATCCAGAAACAACACCGTTTCTTTAGAGACGCGGAACCTCGCTCGGAATTGCATGTCATTATAATAATATTTTTCAATAGCGTTCAGCCTTATTGCGTTCCTGCGATTAGATCTAGGTATTTCCTCGAGGCTCGAAAGAAATGATAACGATGACACACATTATTTACCACTATTTAGGTCGATTTAGGTATAAGAATAGGATTTAAGATACCGCGCAAGCACTCTCAAATTTAACAGCTGCTTAAGACGATTTGACAGTTGTTTGAGTAATGCTTAGCGTTGAATTGCGTTTCAGTATGCGAAAATTCATTTAAGTGGCGTTTGAGTGCAACTTAATTTGAGAGGTGCTTAAAAATTGAGAACTGCTCAGATATTGTTTTGAGTATGCGAAATGTAAGTTTAGGAGCTGCTTAACTATTTGAGAAGCCGTCAAATATTTAAATGGCGTTTCAGTATTCGGCCGTAAGACTTACAAATGTATTTACGCAGGTAATCGGACCGAAAGAACTGGAGGCTGAATTGCGCGCTGAAGATCCAGACTCCTTAGATGAAGTACAGCAAGCCTTAAATAGTAAGTTTAAGCATATTTTTATTTGTTAACTTGCGAATTGCAATTTTTTTAATGCAATTTCGGTAAACGCCATTACCGCAGTCTGCTTATTTTTTTTGTTTACCTCTACTTAAGATAGCTTAAAGTTTGTATGAAAACTTATAAACACAAGCTCACGCGACTTTATACTTATTGATATTTTCAGAAAATGAAAATATAGATTTCAAGAAATTGTATCCAAAACTGAAAGATGCTGATGCGGAAACATTATTAGCAGTAACCAAGAGAGTACTCAGCACGGGTCAATTCCTACCCCACTGGTTCCTACAGAGATACATGGTATGTTATTATTTTGTACTTATAGACGATTCTGTAGTGTAGACTCGATAGTACACCGACGATTTAGTGACAATCGCGGGAAGCAACTGAATGTGGACAGAGAAAGATCAGTAATTTTTGAAAATTTTATTTAGATGTGCAGAGCACAGTTGAGTTGTCTATCAATGTTGTTACTCTAGTTTCTGTTGGCTCAAAAAGAGAATGCCATTCAATATTGTGTACCGCATCCAATGAAAATAATAAGTAACAAAAGTGAGTTAACAATCACAGAGCGTGACATCTTTTACGAGAAGTACAAGACCATCTAAAATGTTTAAGCCGAACGTCCACCGCCGGCTAAACTAAGTTAGTTTAGCTTAGCTCGCATAGTTGAGCCAGTTTTTCATACATGTGCGTCCACCGCAAACTATGCCACATGTATGAAAAACTGGCTCAACTATGCGAGCTAAGCTAAACTTAGTTTAGCCGGCGGTGGACGTTCGGTTTTAATGTGCAAATACCTACCTAGTTATTAATGTAATGTTTACAGGACGTAGACGCGGGCGGCTGCATCCGCGCTCTTCTCCGCGGCGGGCGCTGCGTGGAAGCGGCTGAAGCGTGCTCACGCGCGCTACGAACCTCGCTCGCAGCGCTGCGGCCGCTCCCGCCGCACCCGCGCGCCGCGCCGCTCGCGCTCGCCGACCTGCTGCTAGCCGAGCTCGCACACCACAAGAACCAGCCCTATGTGAACCAGGTGGGTACTGAGGTCAGACACCCGCAGTGTGTTGCACTGCGCACCTCGCTCGCAGCGCTGCGGCCGCTCCCGCCGCACCCGCGCGCCGCGCCGCTCGCGCTCGCCGACCTGCTGCTCGCCGAGCTCGCACACCACAAGAACCAGCCCTATGTGAACCAGGTGGGTACTGAGCTCAGATACCCGCAGTGTTTGCGCCTACATCGTCAGCAGACTACTAAATAAAATTAGTTTTATAATATAATCCATGTCCACAATTCATGTGCTCACGTGACGTGATGTTGGATCACATCGAAATTAAAAAACTAAAAATAGGCACCAATAACGCTATCTAACATTGCTCTGTCGAATAATGTCGTCCATCGATATTGCTATGAATGAAGAGCTGTGTGAAATTAAATCCTTTTGTTGCTTAGAACGAACATTTTGCATTAAAATCTATAGCTCTTTTTACTTTTTAAATTATTAGTAACCGGCATATGTATACGGCCAAACTACGTCATTTATTTCGAAACTAACTAGGTATTTTTTTTACTTGCAGGTTTATAACGACTTGGATAGTCTCGTAAAAGAGTACATACAAGTGGTAATTAGAACATCTGAGGATATGAAGCTAGCAACTATACAGTAAGGATTTAGAAATAAAACATGTTTGCATTTACACATTATAGTCTTTTATTTATTATGATACACAAAATCATACATTTGCACCAAGCCCTTATTTAACTAAATAAAATTATATCACCATAATCTTTAAATATCTTTAACCAAGATAATAAAGCTAAGTTATTAGCCATAAAAACTAAATGCAATAATTTTTGGTCACTGCAACACTTCATGTTAACTTTACAACAATAGAACAAAGCAAAACAATTATTTTAACATCCATGTGGTAAGTTTAATATTCTTTCACCAAATCTTACTTATTTTTAAAACACCACTGAAGTTATGTTTAAGACAACATAATCATATGTGACTTCTTTCAGTGTTTAAAAAGAAACATGCATCATCAAAAAGAATAGCACTGATCATTAATAAATAATTAATTTCTCTAAAAAACTAAGATAAGAAAACAAACGTCAATTAGGTTAATTAATATGTGATTATAAGTCTATTTCATCCTAGGTGATATCACATTATCTAATTCGTGGAACACTCAAGTTAATTATAGACTTAGGCGATCCAAGTGGAATAGAATTAAATAAAAATATATTACAACTTTTCCAAGCCATCTAAGTTCATAGTTAGTTAGCTAGCAAACAAATATGTTTATCAAATAGCAACATACCTATTCATTACTTTCATTTACTTTTCGAACTACTGGGAAGACGATTACTGAAAAAAATACGACCATTTGTCTACTCTTAAAGCTATATAATTTAACTACAAGAGATTTAGTCATATAATTAAGAGAGCTAATTTGTCAGAACTTTTTTAAACTGCGTAATTTTACATTGCGAAATATTAGAATAGGGATGTTTCCTGGGAAAAAAGCAAGAGTTTTAATTAGTCCATCAGTTAGCTTATCAAAAATACTCGACACCTATTTTTCACTTTTTAAAACTAATGAAAATGTAAAGAGATAAAAGCGTGCCAAAGTTCTAAAGAAAAGGCCCGTGACGTCAGTGAGTGCGTAAAAGTGCAGCACTTTGTGACGTCGCGCTGAACTTCAACGCATTATAACTTAGTAATTATTTGTTTGATTGACAATTAAAAATACCTATACGTGTCCAATATTTTTTTATATAAAATTGACGGACTAAAACATTTTTTTAGGAAACTAGCCTATTCTAATACTATCTAGAGTACCTGAAGAGCATAAATAATATGTTACACTGCACATAAAACAGTTTTGATAAAAAAAATATAACAAACATTGTAAAAAAGATCTGGGAGTTTCATAGAGCAGAGAGAGTAAGTATTTATTAATAGCTTAGTTTTGTCTGCTTTGTAAAATTCACTACGAGTCAACAAATTTACACCCTCGGGCGACAAAGTAATACATCGGCCTTTTGTCGGTAGTTGAAGATTCCTTAAATATGTATTAGTCCTTAACCAATAAGCAATAACCCTACATTATCATAAGTTAGCCAACCTGCGTGTTTTATTTTGGCAATACACATCACTTCATATTTCTGTATTAATTTAAATATTACNAAGTATAGATAAGTAATCCCTATTTTACAGTATCCCCAGATCAAGTCTGCAATTTTGCCAATATTAATATTTTTTGAACAAGTGCCACAACCTACTGCCACCATTTTATTTAAAAATCAATGCCTTTTATTAAGTCTCACCCTCATAATAGTTAACACTAGCCTTACAAGCTTTTCATATATCAAAAACATTAGAGCAGCTGTCATTACAGTTTGCAATAATTTTGTCTCCAATCCACGGAACATAATAGCTGGGTTGGATTTGACAGCACTCATTAAAGGTTTAAGACTTGTTCCAGCACGTAATCTTGATTGGATAAGTTGCAATGGGTAAGTTAGGGTAGTAGCTACTGCTTTAGCAATTGCACCTGTTAAGAAAGCCTCATATGTGTGAAAGCTATTTTTAGATACAAAATGCCTTTTTACTGTTTCATATACCATGAATTGTATAGCTGGGTTGGATACAAGTAACAATGAGGGAATAGTGCCTGACCACAGCCCACGAGCACCTTCCTTTTTACCGATATCAACAAGACCTTCAATCAGACTATTGTATAAATTTTTTTCCAACTTCATTCGTGTGTTTACAACCCACAAGGGAGATGTTAGAATAACATTAATACTACCAGCAACTATTCCGAAAAACAAGTCCTTTAGAGCCGAGTTTTCTTTGGATGCAAAATTACGCAATGCATGAAATGAATAAAAATAAACAAAGTTTGAAACAGATAGAGATTGAAGAACTGGAGACAAACCGCGGTATAAGGAGTCAAAACCTTCTTCATTAGCTAATTTAACCAATAACTCCCATGGAGATCCCTGAAGACTGTTTGTATCTGCAACTGAATAAAGAAAAAAGTATTTAGTTTTCGAAACAGACTAAGTAAAAATTTAGTACTTATTGCTTGCTACTTCATATTCACTTAAAGTCGCATTTATATTCAGAGGTCAAAGATCACACATTAATTACATTTATGATAAACTGTCCATTCCAACTGACAAAAGTTAAATGTATGTAATTAAACATTGGCCATGCAGCCAATGACTAGCTGACTAATATCTTAGCATAACTAACAATACCTACTACTAACTGCTAGACTCGACAGAAAACAATTTCGTGACTTTTATACATAAAAGATATTTAATGTTAAGGTAGTATAGTAGTCACATGAACAAGATTTGCATGGTAGTGTTAAATAAGCAATAATGTCATAAAAATTCACATAGCTATGACATTTATTATAATAGGATAAACATACAGAGTTATGTACATAAGTAAACAGATTTTTACCTTGTAATCTTGACCTTAAAGTGTCTAATGGATAGAAGGCAGCCATTCCAACAACACTACCCTGTAAACATTGTACATTATATTAATTACTTAATGTACACATTATTTTTATCTCTCACTAATCTCAGAATTGGATTAGTGCATGCTTAATCTTATAAATTAAATAGAAAAATATGGCACACCCTAAAGGTAAGTTTAAGAATTATTACCGTGGCTCCCGCCATAGCATGCACCAATGTCTCATAACTAAATAATGTAGACATTTTAAATGTTTTTTGAAAGCTGTTGTTATAACTTTTTCTAAATCAATACATTGTAAAACATAAACCGCACACAATCACATCAGACAACAAAATGAAATTGAAAGATTGAAATGAAATGTGATGAAATGACATGATGACACTTGCTTGCTGTCAGATTAGAGATTATAGCTGTCATTACTGACACATGTCATTAGTTTTTTTTAATATGTGTTGTACCCATGAAGCTACAGATAAAAATGGAGGCCAGACTCCCAATACCTACTTGAAGCACAAACTAAGTATCAGTATCTCGCTCTCTGTGGGCAGACTTGCTCTTTCTAAATAAACAAAAAATATAAAATTGCTCAAATTCAATGAAACCAATGTAAAATCTTTATTTCTTGACATAGGTATCATTAAAAATGATAAGTGTAGCTCAAAGTCAATGAAACTCAATGTAAAATCTTCTTTTTCTTGACATATGTAACATTTAATAATAAGTTTAAATACTGGTAAAACGTTTTAGGAAGTAATTACTGTGAAAATACAAAGAAATATGTTAACAATGATCCACTGTCAGAAATCACGAAATAAACACTTACGCGTGGAATTTTATATCACTTCCAGGACAACACGAACTACCGCAACCACGCACTATACAATTTTGCACCATTTCTTCAGACAAAACAATGATAAGGTCCCTTGAAAAATCTCAAACGAAATCAACTGCATAGTAAACAACCGCCATGATGGGCCGGATTCGGCCGATGTTGCCACATTACCGATACCTCAGAAATTGGGATTGTAATTCCCTGATTCGCCAACACATTAAGCCTAAATGGCCGACAATTTTGTGATTTTTTATTTAACTAGGTAATCTAAGTTTCAAATATTAATTATTTATTTATTTAACTTCTTATTTGGTTAGTGAATTGGCTATTTCGAAGAATTTACAAGGAGATTTAAATAAGAAGATAGCAATACTACAGTTCACACTAAAAAGAGAGGTAGGGCCACAGAGAGCGAGATAGATATAAGTAGGTATTTGACTCAAGTTTTGTTCCCAACTTTGCCCTCCATTTTTATCTGTAGCTTCATGGATAAAACCAAGCCGTCGCCAAAATAAAAGAAGAAGAAGAAGTAGTATAGAATAGAATTTTATACGTTTAATTGTGTACCACACAGATATGGATTAGAGGTGTACCATTATCATTGTGCTATTTAATTTTTGAGTCATCAGAGTAGATTTTTATTATTTTAAATGACTGCAAAAAAACTAAGCATCACAATTCACACCGCACTCGTGGGCCTCGTGGCTGGCACTCCTAGGATGTCAATGCACGGTGGAATTAATAAATAAACTGTCACTCAAAAACACCGCTCAAAAATGACAGTTTATTAATTTGTCATCACCTCATTGGCTTAAAAAATTGATGCCGATTTTCATTGGCCAATTCGGCAATCCTTATAGCTGTCTGTGTTTAGATTGTCTGCATCACAGCAAAAAAAATATAAGAAGAAAGAAACAAATTACTTTTCTCTATGGAAACAACAAGACAGATGAGACAGCAAGAGTTTACAAACAATTTTAGAAAAATTATATCTTGTGTAGTTTGGCGGCTTAGGATTACAATTTGTTATTTAATTGACAACCCAATAATATCATCATGAGAGCATTTATGGCGGAAGACAATTTATGTGCTCAAAACTTGTTGAAATTGGTGTCCCATGGAAATGCAATAGTAGCAGAAATTCTGAGATTGAAAGATCACAAACCTACGATTTATTTGTAAGTAATCTTTAATTGCCTTACAAGATACATTTTGTATTACCTACTTAAATGTTTACTTTTGGACAGCAATTTTAAATTGGATTTAACTTTAATAATTTATTATTAAATAAACCTAGGTACTACTATGCTAAAGCTAATAACCTCAGGCTCAGGTTAAAATGGTCAAAAGCTGATTACATAATTCAGCAGCGTACAGTAGGCACACTAGAATTTTATTATCCAAAAGCAAGTTTTTTTGAACTTCTAGGGAAGTGCCTAAACAAGAAATGTCAATGTCAAATTTTAAAGTGTCAGTTCATCAGAGGAGACGAACATTTTATAAACTTTAATAAATATACTATTTAATTAATGTAATGTAATGACTTTATTTACAAGATTTCACCTGCAATAATTTAATGTGATACTACAAAAATAAAATATATAATGTTACAGATTAGAAAATAAAGATTTACAGCAAAAATATCAAGATGTTATCATGGATTTTAGTTACTTCAAAATCTCAGAAAGCCAGGAAAAGAAAATAAGTACTAGCATGGTAAGGCTATTACATACTTACTTCTTCTTAGGAACTTGGGTACACAAATATAAATATATTTGCTTCTTTGCAGAAATTACAAGATTTGGATGATGACTTAAAAGAAAAATATTTGGAATTGATAAATCGCTTTTATTTACTTTTTGAAAATATTTACCAGTATATCATGGATTTGAATTTGTTTGTTGAGCAATTAAATGATGGTGGATTTATTCAACAAAACATTGAAACTGTTCTAAGAGATGTTGAGGGAAAACAACTTCTGGTGAGTATATTAACTTAATGTATGATTGGTATCTTATGACATGAGGCAATAATTAATCTTGGAAAGTTTTTATCAACCACTTTCAGTGTGAATCACTATATTTGTATGGTGCAATGCTTTTGTTATGTGATCTGTATATCCCGGGACCAGTGAGGGAAAGACTATTGGTGGCATTTTATCGTTATAGTACAAGTCAGTCACAATCTAATATTGATGACGTCTGTAAACTATTAAGAGATACAGGATATAATCAACAAAGTGGGAAAAGACCAGCTGATTACCCCATTGAGTACTTCAGGTTGGTACTGATATCATCTAGCAATAAAAAAACTCATTTACTATACAGGGTGCTAGGTAAATGGGTATATGAGCCGACACTAGCCTATATTAACATGGTCATATAAATGGTATGGTGAAGTCAGAAAATTGATATCTTCATTTTAATAATTTTAATTTCCATACTAATCGTATTTTATAAAATTTATTTTGTATGAAAATTAAAAAAATTAAAATGATGATATCAAATTTCTGACTTCACCATACCATTTATATGACCATGTTAACATGGGCTAGTGTCGGCTCATATACCCATTTACCTAACACCCTGTATTATCACAAAATTAGAAACTGTGTAACAGATTTTTTTTTTAATTTTAGCCGCATCAACATACGCCCGGAATTTATTGAAAAGATAGTTGGAAAACTGAGATCAGAAGACATTTACAATCAATTAGCTGTTTATACCATTCCAGAACACCAAGCTTCAGCTCTAGCCACACAGGCAAGTATGCTTGTGGTTTGTTTATTCTTCACTCCTCATTACTTGCATTCAGACACATCAAAAATGAGAGAAATTGTAGATAAATTCTTCCCTAGCAACTGGATAATACCTGTTTATATGGGAGTGACTCTTAACATTATAGATTATTGGGAAAATTTCAAAGCTGCCAGGATGGCGCTTAGCAATACTTGCAACAATAAAATGGTGAAAGAAGTATATAGTAAAAGGGGTAATTCAGTTCAAATGTTGATTACTAAAACACATCAACTTCTAAAAGAAGGAATTTTAAGTGATGATTTTGTATTGGACAACATAAACAAAATATTGAATCTGTTACTAAATTCGAACCTCGTTTTACGATGGTTGATGCTGCACACCAGTGATGTTATATTTTATGATAATAACAAAAAAAGTAAACAATTGAAAGATCTGGTTCAAAAAGAATCTAATCATGATCCTTTGAAGTTTTTTGAACTACTTATAAGTACTGCAGAATTAGAACTAAAAGTAAGAGAAAGTCTCCAAAAGTTACTGGAAACTAGAAACGAATCTTGGAATTCGAACAAAGCATTAGCCCTGGACGCTATCAATAGTTTGGCTGAATTATTTTCTGGAGCGAAACCAATAACAAAGATACAGGAAAATGAGCATTTAAAACTTTGGTTTGAAAACATTGCTAAACAGATTACTTCTTTGAGTGATTCAATTACAACCAAATCTATAAAAAAGATTACCCAGCTTATACAAGCCCTTGATGAAGTAGAAGAATTTCATGGTATCAAAAGTACTTCAACAATTCTTCAATTCCTTTCGGAAAGCAAGATAGCTTTGAAAAATATTCTAAGAGCTGCTACTTTAAAAGAAGATTCCTTAGTGACTTTAGAAACTATAGCAGATGTTAGTTATGCATGGTGTACAATTGATTCATATACAAATTTTATGCAAGAAAGTATTAAGGAGGATCCTGCTGTAACCAGCAGATTAAGGGCCCTGTTCCTAAAGTTGGCAAGTGCCATGGAAATTCCGTTACTTCGGATCAATCAGGCTCATAGTGATGACTTAATTTCGGTTTCCCAATATTACAGTAATGAACTGATCAAATACATACAAAAGGTATTGCAAGTAATACCAGAAATGGTTTTTAGCATAGTTGAAAAAATTATAGATCTACAAACATGGGCCATTAAGGAGGTACCAACAAGACTAGAAAAAGATAAACTAAGAGACTTTGCACAACTAGAACATAGAATGGAAGTTGCAAAATTGACGCATTCTGCTTCCACATTTACAACTGGTATGTTTAATACTATGTCACGGTAATACAATCTATATTATTACCTTGACTAATTGACTTGACTTTTTAGCTTGTTTTCGGAAGTTATTGATCGAGTGGTAAGGTAGTAAAGCCGAGTACGACGCGAAGCACTAAAAAAAATTTTTTTTTCTGCTAGGTAGGTACATACTTTATTACAATTGTTTAATTTCAGGAATACTAGATATGCGATCTACTTTAGTAGGTGTTATTAGAGTAGATCCTGCCGAGTTATTAGAAGAAGGATTATTAAATGAATTAGATAGGCATATAAGCAAGAAATTTACAGAATTCTTGGAACCACAATCAAAAAAGCTGTCAGCGTCCCCAAACAATTTATTACCGCGTTTACAAAAATTAGCAGAAAGCATGGATGGATATAAGAGATCCTTGGAGTATATACAAGACTATATAAATATACATGGACTAAGAATTTGGCAAAAGCAGGTATGTAATGAGTGAGAACACTGTGTACAGACTTAATTATAATTACGTTTATCACGTTTTCTATGCTTTATCTAAATTACTTTTTTTTTCTTTTAGGTATCGGCTATTATCAGCGAAAGTGTGGCCCAGGAAATAAGTATACGAAAAGGAGTCGCCTTATACAGCCCATCAGCTGGGTTCATGGGTAGTTTGGCTAGACAAATTGCACAATTGACAGATGCTAGGTAATTATTTCCACTAAATGGAATAAACAAATAATTATTAAGCAACAATACTTAAATTTGAGTTTGTTACTTGCAGGACATGTGTTTATTTAAGCGTTTGCAGCGCTTGGTATGACGTAAAAAGTCACAATGAAATAATAAACACAAAAACTTTCGCAAAATTAAACGAAGCTATGGGTGTTGTCGGAATTTATGGTTTAGACACACTTTATGCTCATATGATTAAAAATCAATTGCAAAATATTCAACATACCCTACGAAGCAATCAAGACAAAACAATATTTTACAACATAAGTGCTGACTTAAAAGACATTGAACTAATAAATGTCAAGGGGCACAAAACTATACAACAATTAGTGGAGATTCTTGTTTTGATTGGATCACTGCAAATCATCAGAAAGCATATTGCATACCAACTGAACACTACCTGCAAGTTTAACTCTGCCCATTTAGAAGCTTCTCTAAGAACCTTAAATGAGTAAGTATTTATATTTATTTTAGCACACAAGTATAACCATCGATCATTTTTCATTAAGATTAATTAAATATATTTTATAAGTTTGATTTAAGATAAATTAATAAAAACAATTTATATTATAGATCCTTACTGAATGATTTGAAGTTATCTGCAAAAAATGACGAAAAGTCAAAAGTATCCCTATCATTGATTCAGATATTTGAGGACCACTTGGTGAGATGTGGGATAAATGAACCATTTGAGAAAATATACCTGAAAACGTCTCAAGAACTTTTAAATGTAGACTTTGGTCGTCTCCTGGCAGTGGTATTGATATCCCAACTGACTAAATTGCATATATGCCACACTACAGGTATGAACACATTAATGAAATTGTTATTTTTATGAGATATACAGTGTGTCCGGCGGGCATGTAGTGATCAAACATTAAGGGCGTGATCTATGGACAATTTTATCGACGAAAATATTTGAAATCTGGGGCCTAACCTACCTATCGCCGTCGCCAAATTACTAGGATTTAAGTTTTTAAATTTTAGCATTCACCTCTTCTCAAATCAACGCTTCTTATCTTACTCTCTTAAAANTTCCACGAACCTGTCACTGTATTCGTCCACATTTCCGCAGTCTCCTAGGCATTCGAAACGATTTTGCAGTTCGAGCTGAAAGCTTTCGGGGTTTTGGAGTTGGATGGATATTTTAGATATAGACTCAAATGTGTTTCTATACATGATTTTTTCATGTTTTGTTTAAAAATTCATAAAAAAAATATTTATTTCATGTATTCGTTTTATTTTTGTTTTATTAGCTCAGTAAAGAACCCTATATACATAGACAGTAATTAAAATTAAGATTACTTGTACAATTTCCTGAAAAATGATCGATGAAATGTGGGTCAATATGACCCGGGGTCATCGTCTTTGCAATTATTTTCACGTCATTGGCGCCGGGTTAAAATATACGAGACTTGTGTCTGTTTTCTACTTCTACCAATAAATAATTGTATTAGCTATCGCATGGTATAAAATATTTGCTTATTAGTGTTAAGGTGTCCACGCTATCAGTTGTTTTTTGAAGGAAGAGGTTAATACTAAAAATTTAAAACTTAAATCCTTGTAATTTTGTGAGAAATGGGTCAAGCCCCACATTTGAAGTATTTTCTTCGTAAAATCGTCTATAGATCATGCTCTAAGAATTTGTTGGGTCAATTATACACGCCCGCCCGGACACGACACAACAAAACACTGATAAACAAAATATTTCATTATAAGTGATAGTGCAATTAGCTTAATATTTTGCGTATTTTTAACATATTGTGTATTGTTGTACCTATCGTTGGTGTACCTATCAAATAAATAAAAATAAATTAAAAAAAATAATTGTTTTAAAAATGTTGGTCACCTCTGTAAAATTTTAGGCAATGACATTTTGGGTTACGCTTGAACGCTTCCTTGTAGGTCTAGGATGCGCGCCACGATAAATGTTTATCGAGGCATTTTATCAATTTTGTACGATAAGCCCATACGTTTGCGTGCATTGTGCATTTTTAGATAAGTGCATTTTTATCTAGCACGGCTGTAATAGTACCTCCTACTGATTCAGTATGTTGCTATGTTTTACAAGCCATAATATTACAAGTGGTGTGGAGTGTAGGGTTGCCAACTTTTTTTTTCAAAAATGTAGTGTTGGGCATTTACTTTTAAAAATATCTTTGGATACTAGTGATGCTTGCTGAAAACAGTATTTTGTATACTTTATTTTTGTTCAACAGTAAAAAGTATAATTTAGTGAAAAACACTATTTAAAACAGTATAGTTGGCAACCCTAGTGGTGTGATGGCCCACTCTTTTATAATGATCTTTATTTATAACGAAGGGGCCCACCTTCCCCACACGCACATTATTTTGCAAGTCGCACAACAACGCATAATAATATTTTCTTTATCCAACTATAAATCTTGCAGTTATATTTTTTGTGTTTTTGTTTTAAGGGGATATAATATCAAAGAAAGCTGGGGAGAATATTGACGGGTATCCATTGTTAGTGGGTATCTACACAATGCTGCATCAAACAAAAACTGATAGTATTGAAATATTTATTGATTTCTTATGCACATATGCAAGAGTAGCAACACTTATGAGGTAGGTACATAGACTATAATAATAATAATATTTTAAATAATAGGTAGTGGTATTATAATAATATATTTTTATTGCAGGACAAAATCTACAGATGCCAGTGGTGAGGGTATGAATGTTGTAAGAATATTACAGTTGTTTTGCGAAATATTTAGTTATCCGTTTAGTAAAATGGAAGACAAACTTCCATTGGTTTTGTTATCAAACCCATTGATAAATTATTAATTGAATATATTATATAATTATCTTAAGGAAAATGATTATATTGTTATCTTTTGAATAAATAATTTAATGTTTATTTTTGGTATAAATATAATATGCTGTAATGTAAAAATCAATAAAAAATTATAATTATTATCTGTAGTTTTGTCTTGCTAACTCTGGGTTAAACTGAGAGTTATATTTTGCTTTAACTTTATTTGAACTTGTTTCTGTATTTGTACTAGCAGGTGTCTTGTTGTTAAGGCCACTAAGGAATAGTTCAGTTCTGTATTTTTCTTGCTGCTCTCTTTTGATTCGAGCCTCTCGAAGTAATTTAAGTTTTAATTCTTTATCATTTTTACATTTCTTTTTACTCTTATTTATTTTATTATTGCTTGTATGTTTAATTTCCTTTCCATTACATTCTTTTGATTCCATAGATGTTTTTACTTGATTTGTACAATACTTTTTGAAGTTATTTATAGGATCATGATGTTGTTTTGCTTTCCAATCAATTTCGCCATCTTTTACATCTAATTCCTTTTTTTTGGGTTTACCATCCTGATCTTTGAGAACTAATTTCTCATATGTATCTTTTATGCTACTAGATTGTGAAATCCTTGATGAAGGTGGCACTTCATACCAATTCTTCTTTTTAAGAGCTTCATTTGTGTCTTGGCCAAGATATGTTAAGTATCCAATTTTTTTCTCAAATTCTTCCTTTTTTTCTTTTATTTCATTATCATGGTCTTTGTTTGTGCGTTTTACTGCATGATCAAGGTCTGTAAATAAATTTATATGTCCTGTAACTTCCTCCTCTTGCTGCTTAGTATCACTAATTCCAGACTCGAGCAGTTTTTGTTTACTTTTGTGTTTTAATATGCTAAGCCGAGCTTCTCGATCTGCATTTTCTATGCGTAACCTTTCTTCTTTTTCTTTTTCAGCGGCTTCTGCTTCGTCTTTTCTGACTCTTGCGATATTTTCTTTAGTTCTTACATGCCATCTGCAAATAAAGAAGTAATTTGATTATTTCTCCATTTCAATAAGTACATATACACCACATACAGATGTTAACTTTAACTTCAGAGTATTTGTCGACAAACATGCCATCCTCAACAATTCATTGCTCAGTTAGGAGGGCAGAAAGAGAATCAAACAGGGATAACAATGCAGTCAAAAGTAGTGCATGATCTCGGCCATTAAATCGTGTTACAATCAGTTTCGTTAATGTTACTTACCTTTTCTTTGGTAAAATATTCATCTTGATTCCTGGTTTTTATCTATAATCACAAGTTAAAATAACACGGCCAATAATTAATGGAAAAAACGTAAATAGGGGAAAAACAACGTCAACAAATCCGTCTCCACCATTTCATTAGCGACAGTTGGTGACAGTGACAGTTTTTTTTTTAATTTGAAGTTTTACGGCTTAGACGTAGTCCACACTTACCCTAACGCAATTTTTGAGAAAGCTACCCTGGAAATGAAAAAATCAAGAAGATTACTGATGACTAGGCAGCATGGTCTTTGACCTTAGCCTGTTCCAGAAGGAACGAATGGAACCAAAAAAAAAAAAAAGCAATTTTTGAGACTTGTTTGATGAACCGAGTTTAGTGTTACATCACTAAGGTCCCTTTACACGCTCCGATTGAGCAACAACCTTTGGGAGCGTATTATTTGGGAGGAACCATGAAACCACAGTCTAAAACATGAAANTCATTGAACCATGGACAAAATAAATCGTCGAGATTGAAGCGACCGTAATGGACGCAACGCAAGAAATATAGTTTTGTGTTCGATTTGTATAGTGAATTAATAGTTTGTACGCATTTGCGTATGTTTACTTCGGTTTTTAGTTGTTAATTATAATAGATATAATGTAACCATACAGCACTCAGATTTATTAACAATTAAAAATTACGTTTCTAGCCCTGAATTAGGTTATCAATCGTTTGCTGCTAACAACATTGAGTTCCACTATCATATTATCAGTTAAGTATGGAGGTGGAAGCTGCTGTGCCCGCTGTAGAGCCAGTTTTAGAGCTCCCATCGAATGACAATAATAAGTTAAACGAAGTTAGTGAAAAACCATTTTCAGTTCAAGAGGATACAAGTCTCAAATCGAATGGTGTCGCCGAATCGGCCAACGTAATACCTTCACTAGCCGAAGCTGATAAAATCGAGACACACGGAGAAGTAGAAGCGGATTCTAATGTTTGTACGACTTCTTCAGAAACCATTTCTGAAAATGCATCTAACATACTGTGCAGTGCTGAAGTACCGCCAATAGTATCAAACAGTAATGAAGAAATGATCATATCTGAAGGAGATAACATTGAATCAACTTGTGAGTCATTGGAGCAAGAACTGGATGAGAAAGAAATGACTGAAGGTATTGTTAGCACTGTTGAAGAAACTAAAGTAAGTGATGCAACTGATGTACAGATGGAAGAAAGTCTTGCAGAATCTGATAATGTAGATTCAGTAAGTAATGAAAATGTAAGGTTTGAGACTGAAATTTTGGTGGAATCAAATGATGTTAATGAAGTGGAAATAGATAGCTCAAAACCTGATGACACCAATAATATTTTGAGTGAACTGGGTCAGAACATAGAACTGAGTGAAGTCTTGCGATCGTCAGATGTTTCAGAGAACTCTGATAATAATAACTGTGCGGTTAGGCAAGAGGTATTTAATAAGGAAGAACTGCTAGATATTTTAGAAGGCAATGATGCACAATCTACTGCAGATTATCATGCTGCTGAAGTCTTGCACTTGAAGTCCACCACACTGGAGGCACAAATGGCTATGGAGCAACTCTCAAGGTTAAGGAACGATAGCAGAAAAATTAAACAGAATGTTTCTATGAATCGGAAAAGGTCTGTGCTCAAACCAACTAATATTAAAGGAGAAAAACCTAACAAGCAAGGGGAAAAATCAACTAGAAAAGGGGATAAACCAAACAACAAAGCGGAAAAACCAAACAACAAAGGGGAAAAACCAAACAAAGGTGAGAAATCTATCAAAGGTGAAAAAACAAATGAAAAAGGTGAAAAACCAAATGAAAAAGGTGAAAAACAAAATGAAAAAGGTGAAAAACCAAATGAAAAAGGTGAAAAACCCAATGAAAAAGTTGAAAATCAAAGTGAAAAACCCAATGAAAAAGGTGAAAAATCTAACAGCAAATTAGAGAAGCCTAAAAACAAAGAGGATAAACCAAACAGTAAAGAGGAGAGTATTGTTAGCGCTCTTGTAAGTGACTGGGATGATGAGGATCTTCCTGATGATGACAATTCAAAAGTTAATGAGTCGTCAGAAAGTCTCCCCATAGATCAAACAGAAAGTTTAGCAGTTAAAGAAGAACCTACAAACACTAATAGGACATCAATTGACTCGGCAGCCAGTGATGGACAAACACCCATTGTAAATAAAACCATTGACGATACTCAGCCTCAAAGGAGGTTAGGTCGTGTTATTAAAAAGAAAGTTATATTTGACCCTGACAATCCAGACACATACACACAAAGCAAAACACATAAAAACAAAGAAACCCAAAATGATGCACAGCCCAGCAAAAAAATAAAATTGGAGCAGACTGTGCAACGGCCAAAATCAAAATCACCTGTCTCTAAAATGCAATGGAAAAAGCCAACCCCCAAAAATAGTAAACAAATTAAGAGATTGTCAGAAGTTGACAAACTGTTAATGGATGAAGGTGCAGTTAACATGATATATCAGCTCACCCCTGAGGCACCTAAAGGAAAGAAAAATATGAGAACTAAAGCAGAGTTTATAAAGAAGTTGCAAAGTTCCACACCCGAGGGCAAGGAGATGAAATTCAGAGAAAGAAAGAAAGAATGCCTCAAAAGTGAAGATGCAGAAGCGAAAAAAATATCTGGAGGAAAGCAGAGATCTTCCCTGAGCAGTTCTGTAAAGTCTCCTCAGGCCTGTGAAGATTTTGAGACTCACAGTGCAGATGATTCAATCATTTACAGACGTCATTCTTCAAGTTCATATTCTAGCAGTTGCATGAGCCCCCGGCGACTGAGTGATGTCGAAACTAATGCAGGGGTCACAAATACCTCACAAACATCAAAAGACCAAACCAATGTAAACTGTGAGGATGGAGATATGGTTATGGATGTGGTACCGCAAGAATCACCAATCACTAAAGAAATGATTAATAAGGATGATTGTTTGTCAATCAAAAAGAAATTAAATTCAAAATTATCTCTAGCACTAAATAAAAGAAAACGAGAAAGCAGTAAGACTGATAAACCCACAAAGAAAAAAATCATTAAAACTGAAGGGGATCACAAAGAAGATGATGTAGAAGTAGATGTTTTTAAATATTTGTCTATAACCTTTCATAAAGGAGTGGCTATAATAAGTGTTCGGAATACAGGGTTTATCTATAATGCTGATGTAAGTAAATTTATTAGTCACACACAATTCTTTTTGAAGTAGTTATGTAAACACATTTATCAAGTTTTCTATTTTTGCAGGTATTATATGAATTAGAAGAAGCATTATCTGGCGTCGATAGAAGGAGCGACATATCTCTCACCCTCATGACATCAGAATGTGGCACATTGTGCTCAAATTTGGACCTAACACCGTTATTGGAGGACGACGATGAAAAGAGGGCAGTAAACGCTCAACATATAGCTGAGGGTGTGAGGTAGGTACACATACTTTTTATTGTTATACAAACTGCTTTTATTGCTAAAGTAAATATTGTTCATTTCAACGTGCCACATGCTGCGTGCTCGTGTAACCCAACAGTTTCAAGATTCCGCAGACAGTAAATTCACACGTGACTCATACTCGGCTACGATAAATGTGTACTCGGCGCGGTGGTCTCATAAAAAATAGCAATCGCGTTCGTCTCTAACCGCCGTTGTCGCTCTCAGGTCGGTGCTATCGGCGGTGGCTCGGCACAGCAAGCTGGTGGTCGCGGGCGCGTGGGGCGCGTGCCGCGGCGTGGGGCTGGCGCTGCTGGCGCTCGCCGACGTGCCGCTGGCCGCAGAGGGCGCCAGCTTCGCGCTCGCTGGCCCCGCCCCGCACGCCGCAGGCCCCGCCCCCCGCGCCGCAAGCCTCACGCCCGGCGTGGTGGCTGTGGTTAGCGCGCAGCCGTTGCCGCAGTCATTGGTAAGTTCAAATTGTTCCTATCATTCTTTTAATTTCTTACGTCACAGCCCTGTCGAGAGTCTATGAATTGGCCGCGGAGAGCGCTAGCTTCGCGCTCGCTGGCCCCGCCCTGCACGCTGCTAGCCTCACGCCCGGCGTGGTCGTTGTGGTGAGCGCGCAGCCGTTGCCGCAGTCATTGGTAAGTTTGTTCCTATCATTCTTTTAATTTCTTACGTCACAGCCCTGTCGAGAATCTTTGAAATGGCCGCGGAGAGCGCTAACTTCGCCTTCGCTGGCCCCGCCCCCCGCGCCGCAAGCCTCACGCCCGGCGTGGTCGCTGTGGTTAGCGCGCAGCCGTTGCCGCAGTCATTGGTAAGTATGTTCCTATCATTATTTTAACCTCTGACGTCACAGCCCTGTCGAGAGTATGAATTGTCCGTGGAGAGCGCTAGCTTAGCCTTCGCTGGCCCCGCCCCCTACGCCGCTAGCCTCACGCCCGGCGTGGTGGCTGTGGTTAGCGCGCAGCCATTGCCGCAGTCATTGGTAAGTTTGTTCCTTTCACTCTTACAACCTCTGACGTCACAGCCCTGTCGAGAGTCTATGAATTGGCCGCGGAGAGCGCTAGCTTTGCCTTCGCTGGCCCCGCCCCTCACGCCGCAAGCCTCACGCCCGGCGTGGTGGCTGTGGTTAGCGCGCAGCCGTTGCCGCAGTCATTGGTAAGTTTGTTCCTATTCTTCTTCCGACCTCTGACGTCAGTTTATGAACCGGCCGCGGCCGTGGGGCTGGCGCTAGCTTCACGCTTGCCGATTATAAAAAATTATAAAAGCCCCACCGGGGAATCGAACCCAGAACCTCTTGAGAGTGGACCACATTATGCATTCGTCTAAATTCTACAAGATAGCGTCAAATAGTAGGAAGAATCGAACCGCATTCGGTTATAAAATCAATGTTTGAACTACACAAACATAAATTAATGTTTAAAAAAGGTAGGTACAATAAAAAAACACGGTAAAAACCACTGCAACTGTGTAATTGTTCTAACGTAATTAATCGTTGATTTACAGGTCAATGACTTAGTTATATTCGAGCGGCAGTTGTCTGCGTCGGAAGCTCTGCAGAGAGGCCTCGTGAGCCGCGTGCTGTGGCCCACCGGGGTCATGGACCAGCTCCAATCCATCGTCAGCGAAATCGCCAATCAACCGGTACAAGTGAGTAATGTAGCTATTTCTAATAATCTTCATAACTGTCAGTATCATTTACTTTTTGACAGTAAGCTTTCCATCCTTGTCCTTCGTACAGGATCTCAGATATATCATGATAAACGACGCCACCGTTGTGCACACAGATGTGATGACGTGGACACAGACACGACTGGTATAACGCGTACAAGTCGCTGGTTACATTGCCGCAAAACTCCCCAGTTCGGCAAACTGGTAGAAAACCGCACTGGTAACTTCGAGTCCCCTCCGATTTCGCTTTCAACTTCCAGTAATAGGGCTGTAGGCATTGGCAGTTGACTGTGATATTGGGTGGAGTGAGCTGTATATTTCTATGGTGCATCTCTTCTAACTCGTCTGGATTCATGCGATCGTAATCGGATTCAACGACAAGAGATGTTTCCCCGAATCCACACTGAGGCCAATCGGTGGTCGACGAGCAAAACTGTAATTAAAGCACATAGTGTAATCAGTCTATAGTGGTTTACGATAGCTAGTAATTTCGGAGAGTAGACAGGCGTAACTTAAGGAGTGTTACAATACATACGCCCGTATTCACAAACATTACTATGGGGTCTCACAGTGCGCGTGGATGCACAGGGTGACACACGAACCTATCACAGAGCTCTATTCAACGTTGTGCGTTCGATTTGCTGCTTTACATAAGCAAGCATCGTGTCGGGCGATATTTTTATGTGCAGGAGTCAAGAGAGTATTCTAGCATCTGACAGAATTTGACATTCCTGCTTAAAACAAATATCGTTCTTAGATACACTACGGCATAAAAGCACTTTCACATTAGGGCGTTAGAAGCGCGACAACAGCGCGGCAGCGACTTTTTTTATAATGTGACGTCATGCATCCGCTGTCACATAGTATGAAATTTTCAGCAGCGCGACTGTCGCGCGTTGGTGGCGCTGCTAAATCGCCTGAATGTCATAGCGTTATAAGGGTCAAATTCCTTCGAGGAGCCCCACCTGTAACTCCGCGTGGTTGTTGAGCGACATCGTTCGCTCGGGCGGCGCGGGCGCCAGGCAGCGCGCGCGGTTGCGGCAGCGACACAGGCGCAGCAGAGCGCGTGGTCGCCAGTAGCGCTGCAGCAGCGTCCCACATGCCTGTCGCGCGCCGCACGCCGGCAGCCCGCGCTCGCTCTCCTCCTGGTTCACGATAAATGTATGGGCTTATCGCGCAAATCGATAAAATTTATCGCGGCACGCGTCCTAGGCCTACAAGTAATTTAGTCCCCACTGCAGTCCATGCAGGACCATTTTCAATTTGCCTTTGGTTATGGATGGAGGATTTTGCCTGTAATCCACAATCCGGCCAATCGATTTGGGTAGTTTATTTATTTATTTATTAAGGCATACACAACAGGTAACAATCAAGGGATACAATGGTAGTTACAAATAATTGTAATTATTACAAAATAATGCTTATAAAACTAGATTGCAACCTAAAAACGTGTACACACAGCATGCAATAACAATCACGTAAACATTATGTTACAGAGGTAAAGGTCTTTATTGTTACGATCGAACCCCGTCTCAGTCGTATCTTCTCTCCTGTGATTGGTCTAAATATTGAATTAATTCAGTCAATTAATAAAACCCTCAATCTATGTCAAGCATCGAAGCAAGAGAAAGGCTTTATTGGCGAAACAGATTTATTTCTCTAATTCATGAAACGAGATAAAATGTTAGATAAGTAAATATTGGTAATTATAATAATATATTAGTTAACTGCCTATTTAAAGNCCTGAGAAAAATAAATAAAAGGTTACCCTACTTAGAAAGAGAGAGCCTGCCCACAGAGAGCGAGATAGTGATACATAGGTTGTGCTTCAAGTAGGTATTCTAAGTCTGGCCTCCATTTTTATCTTTAGCTTCATGGTTTTATCCTAGGTCTGAGGCATTTGACGTATAGATGAACCACGCTGAACTGTCCCACCAAACTCAATGACAGGGGGGCGCNGTGAAAAAGGACTATTTTTAAAATATCTAAATATTTGGTAATAAGTAGGATTATAGCTATAATTCTTTGTTATCTTAAAGATTAATATTCATCCTTCAAAATTGTGTGTGTGTTTTTTTTGTGTGATGATTTTTTTTTTTTTATAAATATAAAACTTTTGAACTGTTTCAAAGCACACTTTTTTTTATCAAAATGTACACTTTTTTTGAGAAATACTCACAAACTTCTTTTATTAAAGTTGAAATGAACAATATTGACGTGCCACATGCTACGTGCTCATGGAATGGGCGGATTCAACAGTTTCAAGATTCCGCAGACAGTAAATTCACACGTGACTCACACTCGGCTACGATAAATGTGTACTCGGCGCGGTGGCCCAATCGCATTCGTCTCTAACCGCCGTTGTCGCTCTCAGATCGGTGCTATCGGCGGTGTCTCGGCACAGCAAGCTGGTGGTCGCGGGCGCGTGGGGCGCGTGCCGCGGCGTGGGGCTGGCGCTGCTGGCGCTCGCCGACGTGCCGCTGGCCGCAGAGGGCGCCAGCTTCGCGCTCGCTGGCCCCGCCCCACAATCCGCTGGCCCCGCCCCGCACGCCGCTGGCCCCGCCCCCCGCGCCGCAAGCCTCACGCCCGGCGTGGTCGCTGTGGTTAGCGCGCAGCCGTTGCCGCAGTCATTGGTAAGTTGTTTCCTATTATTCTCTTAACATCTGACGTCACAGCCCTGTCGGAGAGGCTTTGAATTGGCCGCGGAGAGCGCTAGCTGGCCCCGCCCCGCGCGCCGCAAGCCTCACGCCCGGCGTGGTCGCTGTGGTTAGCGCGCAGCCGTTGCCGCAGTCATTGGTAAGTTTGTTCCTATCATTATTTTAACTTTTTACGTCACAGCCCTGCCGAGTCTTTAAATTGGCCGCGGAGAGCGCTAGCTTCGCGCTCGTTGGCCCCGCCACTCGCGCTGCAAGCCTCACGCCCGGCGTGGTGGCTTTGGTTAGAACGCAGCCGTTGCCGCAGTCATTGGTAAGTTTGTTCGTTTCACTCTTACAATTTCTGACGTCATAGCCCTGTCGAGAGTCTATGAATTGGCCGCGGAGAGCGCTAGCTTCTCCTTCGCTGGTTCCGCCCCGCATGCTGCAAACCTCACGTCCGGCGTGGTTGCTGTGGTCATTGGTAAGTTTGTTCCTATTCTTTTTCCGACCTCTGACGTCAGTCTATGAACCAGCCGCGGCCGTGGGGCTGGCGCTAGCTTCGCGCTTGCCGATTATAAAATTCCCACCGGGGAATCGAACCCAGAACCTCTTGAGAGTGGACCACATATGCATTCGTCTAAATTCTACAAGATAGCGTCAAATAGTAGGAAGAATCGACCCGCATTCGGTTATAAAATCAATGTTTGAACTACATAAACATAAATTAATGTTTAAAAAAGGTTCAATAAAAACACTGTAAAAACCACAGCAACTGTGTAATTTTTCTAACGATTAATTAANACGTAATTAATCGTTGATTTACAGGTCAATGACTTAGTTATATTCGAGCGGCAGTTGTCTGCGTCGGAAGCTCTGCAGAGAGGCCTCGTGAGCCGCGTGCTGTGGCCCACCGGGGTCATGGACCAGCTCCAATCCATCGTCAGCGAAATCGCCAATCAACCGGTACAAGTGAGTAATGTAGCTATTTCTAATAATCTTCATAACTGTCAGTATCATTTACTTTTTGACAGTAAGCTTTCCATCCTTGTCCTTCGTACAGGATCTCAGATATATCATGATAAACGACGCCACCGTTGTGCACACAGATGTGATGACGTGGACACAGACACGACTGGTATAACGCGTACAAGTCGCTGGTTACATTGCCGCAAAACTCCCCAGTTCGGCAAACTGGTAGAAAACCGCACTGGTAACTTCGAGTCCCCTCCGATTTCGCTTTCAACTTCCAGTAATAGGGCTGTAGGCATTGGCAGTTGACTGTGATATTGGGTGGAGTGAGCTGTATATTTCTATGGTGCATCTCTTCTAACTCGTCTGGATTCATGCGATCGTAATCGGATTCAACGACAAGAGATGTTTCCCCGAATCCACATTGAGGCCAATCGGTGGTCGACGAGCAAAACTGTAATAAAGCATAGTGTAATCAGTCTATAGTGGTTTACGATAGCTAGTAATTTCGGAGAGTAGACAGGCGTAACTTGGGGAGTGTCATACAATACGCCCGTATTTACAAATATTACTATGAGGTCTCACAGTGCGCGTGGACGCACAGGGTGACACACGGACCAATCACAGAGCTCTATTCCAGCGGTTCCCGAATGGTGGTCCGCGGAACCCTGGGGTTCCGTGGAAAGGCCGCAAGGGTTCCGTAAAAAATATTACCCCACGTTTCGTGACCGACGTTGTTCGCTCGTACCGACTTGTTTACGCACAAGGGAGGGGCAGGGCGTGCGGGCGGAGTAGTACGGGGATTCCGCTAGGAAAAGTATAATCAATTAGGGTTCCTTGGCAAAAACTGGCTGTGCGTTCGATTTGCTGCTTCACATGAGCATCGTTTGTGAATACGGGCGATATTTTTTTGTGCAGGAGTCAAGAGATTATTCTAGTATCTGACAGAATTTGACATTCTTGCTTAAAACAAATACCGTTCTTATGCACTACGGCATAAAATCACTTTCACATTAGGGCGTTAGAAGCGCGACAACAGCGCGGCAGCGGCTTTTTATAATGTGAACGTGAAGGCATGCATCCGCTGTCACATAGTATGAAATTTTCGGCAATTTCGCGTCTGTCGCGCGACAAACTGCTAATGCCCGTTTTCACCATCATTCCCTAATTTTTAAGTGATCCCTATGAAAACAAAATTCATATTATTTATTATCATAGGGGTTACTTAAAAATTAGAGATTGATGGTGAAAACGGGCATAAATCGCCTAAATGTGAAAGCGCTCTAAGGGTCAAATTCCTTCGAGGAGCCCCACCTGTAACTCCGCGTGGTTGTTGAGCGACATCGTTCGCTCGGGCGGCGCGGGCGCCAGGCAGCGCGCGCGGTTGCGGCAGCGACACAGGCGCAGCAGAGCGCGTGGCCGCCAGTAGCGCTGCAGCAGCGTCCCACATGCCTGCCGCGCGCCGCACGCCGGCAGCCCGCGCTCGCTCTCCTCCTGGTTCACGATAAATGTATGGGCTTATCGCGCAAATCGATAAAATTTATCGCGGCACGCGTCCTAGGCCTACAAGTAATTTAGTCCCCACTGCAGTCCATGCAGGACCATTTTCAATTTGCCTTTGGTTATGGATGGAGGATTTCCTCTATTCCACTGTAATCCATTGGTCAAATCCATTAATGGATTAGATTCCTCTTCTGGGTACACTTTAGTCCATCGATGGACTTGTTTCCGCATCAGAGTATACCCCAATCCATCAATGGATTTGATTCCACTTTTAAGTACAACCTACTTAATCCAAGAAATTTTACACAACTGTTTAAAGTTCTTTACGATGAAGCCTAGACTGTAAACTGTTTGTATACCTATTACAAATAAATGAATAAATAAAAGTAGGAGTAGAATATGTACCAACATCTTTTATCCATCCATTGGAAATACATTTTAATTTGTTTAATTTATTTTATTGAAATATAATAATATAGATATAGAAAATACGAACTCATTTATTTTTAAAGGAAAAAGCCCAGGTAGATAATAGAGGGCCATTTTCTGGAAGAGTTAAAATGAACTAACTAAGAATTTCAATAATAAAGGGTAAATTATTTTTGTCGTTTCAAGGCTTTAAATTTTATATTTGTTGAGAGAGGGTTGTAATTTGAAATAGCTTTTTAGGGTTCCGTAGTCCTGACAAGGAACCCTTATAGTTTCGATATGTCTGTCTGTTTGTCTGTCTGTCCGAGGTTTTGCTTAGAAACTACTGGCACTAGAGAGCTGTAATTTTGTGAAGGTATGTATATTAATCACGCCGACAAAACGGTAGAATAAAATTTTGAAAAAAAAAAATGTTTTAGTGTAGCTCCTCTACATGTAAAGTGGGGATGAATTTTTTTTTCATCTTCTACTTCATCGTGTGGGGTATCGTTGGATAGGCCTTTTAAAATGGCTAAGGGGTTTCTTAAACTTCCGATTTAGGGATCTGTTTGCAAATTATTAAACTTTAAAGTGCCAATTATTGTTCGAGTAGAGACGTTCCCCCCTCTAAAACTAAACTGTTGGCTTTTCATGAACTTTCAAGGAAAACTATAGCGGTTAAGATAGATCACTTAGTTTAAGAGTAATAGTCATTTGACTCATGTATTATACAATTTTATTATAAACTTTCGATTTAGGGATCTGTTTGCAAATTATTAAACTTTAAAGTGCCAATTATTGTTCGAGTAGAGACGTCCCCCCTCTAAAACTAAACTGTTGGCTTTTCATGAACTTTCAAGGAAAACTATAGCGGTTAAGATAGATCACTTAGTTTAAGAGTAATAGTCATTTGACTCATGTATTATACAATTTCTTAACCAGTAAAAATTCCTTAGAAATATGAAAAGTGACTTTAGATGAAGTAATTGCTTGCTTCTGAAATATAATAATATTGTGGTAACGACGGACAACTACGGAACCCTACACTGCGCGTGCCACGTCGACACGCACTTGGCCAATTTTTTAAATTACAGAAAAGAGCTGTCCGTGCTAAGTATAGTATATATGGATTGAGACCGCGTGCCTACTTAGGCCAACGTGATTAACTAAGTCATGATGTTAATTTTGTTTTTTGATTTTTAAATAATTAAAATACCTGGGCTTTTCCTTTAAAAATAAATGAGTTCGTATTTTCTATATCTATATTATTTATATTTTAATCAAATAAATCACGAATTAAAATGTATAATCCAATGGATTGATAAAAGATGTTGGTATTCTACTCCTACAGTCCTACTTTAACAGTTGTGTAAAATTTCTTGGATTAGGGTGTACTTAAAAGCGGAATCAAATCCATTGATGGATTGGGGTATACTCTGATGCGGAAACAAGTCCATCGATGGACTAAAGTGTACCCAGAAGCGGAATCTAACCCATTAATGGATTTGATCAATGGATTACAGTGGAATAGGGGGAGGATTTTGCCTGTAATCCACACTCCGGCCAATCGATTTGGGTAGTTTATTTATTTATTTATTAAGGCATACACAACAGGTAACAATCAAGGGATACAAACAATGGTAGTTACAAATAATTGCAATTATTACAAAATAATGCTTATAAAACTAGATTGCAACCTAAACACGTGTACACACAGCATGCAATAACAATCACGTAAACATTGTGTTACAGAGGTAAAGGTTTTATAAGGGTCTATCGTTACGATCGAACCCCGTCTCAGTCGTATCTTCTCTCCTGTGATTGGTCTAAATATTGAATTAATTCAGTCAATTAATAAAACCCTCAATCTATGTCAAGCATCGAAGCAAGAGAAAGGCTTTATTGGCGAAACAGATTTATTTGTCTAATTCATGAAACGAGATAAAATATTAGATAAGTAAATATTGGTAATTACAATAATATATTAGTTAACTGCCTATTTAAAGGTTATTATAATTATATTAATGAATTGAATACAAAAACAACATTCCACATTAGGAAATAATTTCTCGCCCAAATATCATTAGGCAATTATTATGAAGTTACCTTAATTGTTTTTAGATTACGCTGTCAGGTCTTACTAGAGAAAGTCAAAATCATTACTAGTAAAGTCATTTAAAAATAATTACGATCTTGGTTTTAAAATCAAATCAGCGTCCGGGCGAATTATAGGGTTCTCGTTTCTTGTTCCTAATCAAAAATATGACTTGCTAATGTTGAGTACTTACTATACCATAGTAGTACAGCTCTGGTTCTTCGTCACTGCTGCTGCCATAGATATGGTTGTTACAAAGTACGAGTATGAACAATACTTTGATCGTCCACATCAGTAATTTTCTTGATACTAATGTATTTTGTTATACTTAACGTCGACTAATAGGTCAACTTGTACAGATAAGCCTAACCTTGTGCTCTATTCAGTATTAAATATTCTGTTACAAATAATAAATTATTGTTCCAGACTCTCCTGTTGAAAAAGAAATTGCTGAAATTAAGGACAAATTCAGACAATACATTCCTGGCTCAATTGGAGGCTGAGCGAGCTCTCTTCGTCGAGTATTGGAGCTCGAAGGAAGGTCTGGAGACTCTTGCGCATAGAGAAACAGATCCTCTAAAAGGGGTATAACTTTTCTGACAATAGTGCTCATTGAGAAACATAAACACTTCTAAAGTAAAATTGTCATCTCATGCAACCACAACACAGAGTTTTAATTAAAAAAACGTTATAAATGTATGGACAGAAGTTGATGTGTGTTTAAAAATATCAAAAGTTTTCTGGAGTAGGATATACATATGTGTAAATGTTTCAGATTCAAGTCTATTGAAGAGTTTGTGTGTTAAGATATGATGAGTTAGATATTGATGATTGAAATAGTTGGAGGTTGTTCATTATTTGATTTATAATACACAGATAATGTTAGTGTGGACTGTTTTATTAGGGCAATCTAAGAATTGGGTTCAACATAGTTGCTTGATTAATATGTGTGCATATTGATGTTTTAATTGGTTGTAAATTTTACTTTATCAAATGTTCATTTCATGATCCTGATTGAAATCTTTAACTTTAATTCAATTAAATCTATTCTTTTATCAAAATTAGCCTATGTTGAACTTATTAGCCTGGCGTCCATTACTTCGCTCTATATAAGTAGCACATTTTTCTTCGGTTTGGATGCATAGTTAATAAATTCTAACGAATTAATTCGTTTAGACGGCGTAATGGACGGCAAGTCTTTTAATTTAGTCGTAAATGTTACGTTATAGATGAAATTGTTTATGTATTTGTTTTAGATGTTGAGTTTATAATTTAGAGCACATATGGTGTATATCCAGCCAAAGTTCTACACAATCACTAGATGCATCATAATATGAAGTGGCTAATACGAGAATATTCAGTTTACAAATTAATATTAAGAGTATTCATTCCTTTGACCCTAAATTGACTGTTTTACGTTAAACTTCTTATTCGTCAGTTTATTTAGACTTATTTAGTTTATTAACATCTTTGTAAGTTACTTAGTTATAAGTATAGAAATAATTTATTTACTTTTCTTTATTAATTAAAAATAAAGTGCCTTTCATCATAATATTATAATTTCAATCATACACATTTAAACAAATAAACTTATATACTATAAAAACATGGGTTTTGATGCAACATAACTTCTGTACCTCATGGGGCTAGCTGGGATGTGATAGGACCAAGGGGTTCTGCAATATTTTCTTATAGATTAGTTGTTATAGCACAGAGAATACGAAATTAGGAAGATATTATTCAGTCTATATTACGTTGATTATTGAATTAGAACAGTCTATATTACGTTGATTATTAAACGTTGATTTTACAGATAAATATAGATTCACGCCTGCTACATGGTCTACTGACAAGTTATCGTGAGAGGAATTATTTTTTGTAAAGAATATTAGTAATTTATAATATAAATATGTAATGTCTTCATTCAATATGTAATTCATCATCTTTTGGATTCTGTACATGGTCACATTTCATTATCAATACTATGTACTATGTAGGTATCTCATAGTAAAAAATAAGTATCTATCAATATACACAGCATTTAGTTTTGGGCTAAAAAGATCAGCCGACTGGAGACCTTCTACAGAAGAATCCTGATTACAGCACTAATAACAGAAGATCTCACTTTCTTACAGTTGATGGTAAGAAATAATACGTCAAACGAATGAATACATACATTCGTGTGTATGTTAGGTATTGTATTATTTTATGCAGAAAAATATCTTTTATACTATGGTATTCATCATAACTTATTGTCCATTATAACCATACAGATTCGTTTCTTACATTGACGTACGGTACGTACGAAAGATGCCTTTTCTGGATGCGCTAGTATTGATTGTTACACAAGGAATGAAATAGGAATGTATGCTTGTATAACTTTAAATCTCGAATATAATTTAGATATTTACCTAATATGTATTGTATATTATATATTTTATTACATTTATTAAGTATACTATAATAATTTATGTCCGCGTGGGTTTCGCTGTGTCAAGTCTCGTTGCAATCATGTCACGTTCCTAAAATCTGTTAAACTTTTTAACAAAATAATTTGATGTGTAAAATAAAATAAATAATTTCTATTTACCATAAACTTGGAACTCCCTTCTTGCTCACTTACTGGTGAGAGTAGCCGCCATTGATGACGTGCCTCCGCTTGGACGCCGTCGGTTCTTTACAAACTATCTTTGTCTACTTCTGACAAATGTTTGTCATCATCAATCATCATTATTTTTTTGTGGGTTAAGCATGGAAATATTAAACAAACCATCAGACTACACTTACATAAATTAATATACATTGATTGTAATACAATACAAATAATTATGTAGTAATTGAATAATGCATGGAAATTCACACTGCGGAAATCCGCGTGCGCTGCTCATACTAATTTTCTATATTTTTATCTCTTTCTTTAAAAAGTTAGAGACTTTAGATAAAAAGATTTGAATATATTGAATAGTTGGATTTCGATCTGTGCGGTCGAAGGGCTTACTATTCCCCGTCAACGGAGATTAGTGAGCTTTAACGTTAACGCCAATTGGAGCTTATAATGGGGAATAATGAACTAAAAAGTTAATTAATCCCCGTTACGTTCAAAATAAAATCCTAATATAACGGGGACTAATGAACTTTTTAGTTCATCATTCCCCATTATAAGCTCCAATTGGCGTTAACAGGGATTGTCAACGGGGAATAGTGGAATAAGCCGGTCGAAGCTGTGGGCAGAAGAAGATAAATAATAATAAGTACCTATAAACTTTGGTGACAGGTCAAACCATTTCGTGTAAGAAATACCAATAAATGTTAATTAAGAATTTGTTCCTATTTTTTAAAATCAGTGTCGCCACTACTATTATTATTATTCTTTGCAACGAGATATCAGCACTTCAGCAGATTTGAGGCGTTAGGTTTCAAGCACTTGTAAGTCTAAGATTTGCTATATTTTACGTGTTTTACAAAGTAAGTATACGGTCAAACTTACATGAATGTAATTTACGTTATTATTTGTGTCAATAAAGGATCACTTGGGAACTTATTTGTTTATATTTAAAATGATAACAATTTATGACCTTTTTGACTAAAGACCATGATACAAATTACCGTGGCATTTATAAGGATTTCTACTATACCTACACAGAAGGGAATATAAAGCAAACAACGATGTTCTGTACACAATTTTAATTAATCATATTTTTTCGGCGACATTAGAAATAATTGGTTTCGGTCTCGATTTGAACAGCAGCTTCTTTTTAACGACGGCCCGGACGCGATACCGGGTGGTGTGGTCATCGGTGACCTTTTCGATGACGGCCATGGGTTGGTCGAGCTTGACCTCCTTGCCGGCCAGCACGTGGTGGCCCAAGACGAGCGACGGCTGGCGGCTGCGCGCCGTGAAGCTCAGGTCGCCCACTAGCGCAGCGCCGCCCGAAGATTCCTTCATTTGGATCAACCCTTGCAATTCTACTATTGCCCACTCCGGCACACCGTTCTCGTTCTCCGTTTTACTGTAACGATAAAACAAAAAATGATTTAAATTGAATATTTAAAACAATAGGGGTGAAGGGAGAGTGATATAAATGTGAAATAAAAAAGGATTCGTGTCGTAAATAATTGTTTATTTTTCTTGCTGGGTAGCTAGGCACTTGTTTGTATTAAGTACCTAGTCATGTAACCTGAAACAAAAGATGATATAAAATGACCGACTATTATTATTTGTTATTCGTATAAAAGACCGCAGACATGATGTTGCGCGTATACATCATTGGTGCTATCTCTTGACTCTTGAGTGTAGATTGAAATGACAAAATGTGGCTGCCCAAAAGATCTTGTTTTTTTGTCAAGGAATTTCCACATCATCTGGCAACTGACAATACCAAATAGCATACCTTATGAAGTCACGTGTGCCGGTTGCCGGGCGCCTAGCAGCGAAATTTCTTGAAGAGCGGGTGCTTGTTGGCGGGCCCGCGCCGGTGCTCCAAGTACAGCGCGTCGTCGGCGCCGGCCAGCGACGACAGGGCGCCGCCGCGTCTCGCCGTCCCTCCCACGCCACCTGGGCCACCCTCGCGCTCGTCCTCGCAGTCGGTCTCGGACGCTGCTAGCACCTAAGGATAATAAAGGATATACGTGAAATCTGGACTTATCTCTTGATATATTCTCACAAAAAGGTAAAATAAATCCGGCTCGAAGGACCATTAAATGTATGTTTTGTAGTGGCCATACATTTACATACATACATTACATAGAGTTGAAGTAAGTTAATGAGCACGTCGAATTGAAATCTAAGTTTATATTACCGTGAAGTATGTATAGTTACAAAGTTACTGTCGCAAATCTTTCCTTGAGTAGTTAGTGTTCGGTAGAACGGTTGTTGACGTACTAAATGATGTAAGTATTATTATGAAAATATAAAATACAAATGTAAGCGTAAAACTAAGTGCAATGTACGATGGCTTGCCCGTACATAATTTATGGTCTTTATAAGCTGTCACAACGCTTTCCCTGTATCTTGTAGCCGAGCTATGAGCAGACTCAACTAAAATCCTACACATCATAATAATATTGACTTTGACTTACTTGTTGCAACAGCATCCCTTGCTCTTCGCGTGATCCATAAAACATATCTGGCTCTTGCTCCATTCCTTTCAATTCTGTAATTACCTGTAAAATTAACCGATTGTTTAAAAGAAACATGAACGACAATTTAGTTAGGTGTATTGGAGATGAAACAATATTTCATAATGTAATTACCTTGTAACTATAACCTTGGTTGACTAAGAACCGCTGTCGCTTACGACTGTACGCCATTTCTAATGTGTCCTGGGATACCAAAGTATAGAAGAAGGCATTATATTCCTCTGCTAAGGCGCCTTTTTTCGCTCTCAAGATTCGACCTGTAATTTATTATTCATGATTTAAATTTCGGACGAAAAAGCTGTAAATTGATATTGAGGAGCTTATCCTACGAAATGCGTACTACGTAAAAGAATACGTGGCCTTACCCAATCTCTGTGCCTCCTGTCGCCGGGACCCGCCGTGCGAAGAGATCTGAATCAGCACGTTTGCCTCGGGCAGATCGAAACTCGTGTCCGCCACTTTACTGACGAATATCGTGTTCACTTTCGGGTTGAATTTGAAGTTTTGCAGGATCTGAATCCGCTCGCTTTGCGACGTAGGCCCGTAGATGTAGGGCTTGTTCATTTTTACCGCGTAATGTCGCAGTGCGAATACGTTGTCGGAAAATACGATGGTTTTGTCGCCGCGCCTCTCGTGGTAGCGGACCAGAAATTGGCAGGCACGGAATTTTGATGGGTTCATGACGTATAGCAACATTTTCTTGTTGATCCTGTGGTACGAGAAGGCAATGATTATAGTATTAAAAGTAATGATCGTTTTGGTCAATTTCTGTAAGCAGTCATTGTTCTGATAAATAAATATGTACTACTCTACTCTCGATCTGCAAGCGATGCGGGACTACTCTTGTTTCATAGCAAAAGTTTACTACTCTATAGGGTATAGACACTCACTTTTGTATGAGGTACTCGCGGTAGAACTCTGGTGTCATAGGACACCACACTTCAGCGCACTGCACACGCGCGATATATCTGTGTAAAACCATATTAATGTTAATTTCAGATCTTTGATATTTTAAAATTTTAAATGCTATTATAATTTATTCAATAAAGTAACTGTTGTTACCCATTAGCCTGCAGCTCCAACCAGTTAGCCTCGTACAACTTCGGTCCGATCAAGAAGTTCAGATCAGCGATTTTGTCGTCTTCACGAAGGAGCGTTGCAGTAAGACCTGTAAATAAAATAACGAGTTGTTATGAGTTTTTATTGCAAATAACTTCGCAATGTATCTATCCATTTATTAATTTACATTGAATGCATACAAGTATGGGATCGAATCTAGCTCTTTCTTCGAAAAAATACACGATAACTCAAACCCAAAATTTTCCTTACTTTTCTAAGGTTGAATTTTGGGACAGTATGTAAATAGTATCACATCTCATGAGTTAGTACTATCACAATCATCTTTAAATCAGTAGCCCAACTTCCCTGTGGGGTCACAAGACCATTCCGCTCACAGCTCGTGGGAGGAGCAGTTGCCCACTACGTAGAGTAGTGGGCAACTGCCAGTGTGTGTGATACAGAATAATAATAAGTACTACGTACAGAAGATTAACTTCGTGAAGGTAATTAAAAAAATGTATGCTCAATGTCATTAACAATATGGTGTAATTTAGCCTGACTCAAGAATCAAGCACCATTTTGTTGACAAACGTCAGTAATCGGCACTGCGCCGAAGTTATAGGGCTGACTTCGGTAAAACGATGTGACGTGAGGTGCCAAACTGCGGAAAATGGCGGAGGAAATACATGAAATAGCATGAATTATCATGAATAATATTAACTACTTATTTACCTCTCAGTGTCTTGAGGCAACTTAAAAAAGTACATTCTGTGTTTTTATTATTATTTAGGCAGTTAAATACTGCACAGTATTTTGTACATCATTTTCTTTATTTTCTTCCATCATACACAAGAATACGCGTGCGTGAGTCAATGTTCGCTCGTATGTGAGGCCTTGTCGAATAGTATCCTGTAGGTGGGCCATCGTGCGTGTTTTGTTTTCGATGTAAACTCGCGGAGATGAACAGGCCTGGTGATACTGAATAAACATGTTTTCTTTCTTTACTTACCGAGCTTGGCGTGCGAGTGCACGATGGTGAGCACGCGGCGGAACATCTTGGCGGGGATGGTGTGCACCTCGTCCAGCACCACCAGCCCCCACTCTTGCGCCTGCAGCCACTTCATGGTCTGTTCCGCTTCCCAAGAACGCCTCTGGCCGTGCGTGATCATGGAATACGTGGTGATTAGAATGCCCGCGCCCATTGGCTTGTCTTTCGCTTCTGATGTGAACCTGGGGCAGAATTTTTCGATTTAAGGCCTATTCAAACCTGAGCGATATTCGCTGCTGCTGTGGGTAGAAGTACATACCACGCGGGTTTCGCTCAGGTATTTAGTATCAAGTACCGCGGCAATACCGCTTAGGTCTGAACAGTATTATTACCGCATACCCACTGGGTTTTCTCTGCCGCAGACGGTAGCGAGTACCGCTTAGGTCTGAATAGGCCTTAAAGGTGACTGGGCTACTAAGGGNGGCTTGTACGAAAACGCTACAATATCGGTCCGCCTCCAGGATCAGAATTCGAAACTTATCCAGTTGCAGCGAGGAGTGAGACAGGGAGATGTCATATCTCCGAAACTGTTCACCACCGCCCTGGAAGATGTTTTCAAGCTTCTGGACTGGAGCGGATTCGGCATAAATATCAACGGCGAGTATATCACCCACCTTCGTTTCGCGGACGATATCGTAGTCATAGCTGAGACCGTGGAGGACCTAAACACAATGCTCGATGGCCTCAGTAGAGCCTCTCAACAAGTGGGTCTTAAAATGAACATCATCATCATCATCATCATCAACAGCCCTTTACAGTCCACTGCTGGACTATGAGCCTCCTCCACTATAGTGGAGGGTTTTGCCATAATCTCCACGCTTGGCAGGCGTGGCAAAATGAACATGGACAAGACAAAATGCGTGGCCTGGATGCGAGCGGCGCAGGACCGGTCTTTGTGGAAATCCTTGGGGGAGGCCTTTGTCCAGCAGTGGACGTCTTTCGGCTGAAACGAAACAACAAATAAAAATGTAAAATAATATTTATTTTAAGAATTTACAATTCTGCGTTCTCACTATCGGCGCTAACGCACAACTGCCGCGCGATCAGAATGGCGTATGACGCAGCGGGTGGAGGGGGTTTGTTTTGCTAGAGTGACGTATTACTTGCTGTACACAAAACAAGACTCTATTCTAATGATGTTAGTAAGATTTTCGCTATTAGATGATACGTTTGAAATGCAGTAACTATTTTATAACTACTCACGTCAGTTCGGCTCATTTGCTGTATGTTCGACATCGTAAGATTTTAGGGCGGCTGAAATGCTGTATCTCCTTAAAAATCAATGTTCGACTCAGAAAAAGAGTGCTGTAACTGTTTAACATACTAGTAGTGTGGTCGTATCTATTTTATTTTCGAAAGTTGCGTTTTTTTGACCAGTTACAGCAATTGGTCAAGTAAATTGTAAAAAAACTGGAAAAAATTCTATGACGTATCTATATTTTTTTTCATCGTAGAAAGACGATACATACACCATTCGACGCGGCTTTTTTTTCTTAATACAATACAATTAAAAGTCATTTTAGCCAATTTTTGAGATACGACATTTCCGCTTTCTGCCGTCGATATACCCATTTACCTAACACCCTGTAGATACGGTTACGGATATAGGAATAATATTATACCGGTTACGGTTACGAATATTTCTTTATTTCGGATATCCGAAAGTTTCGGTTACGGTTACGGATATCCATAACGTAAACTCACACTACGCTCCTGCCAGTTGCCCACCACCTACCGAGTTTGGCGTGCGAGTGCACGATGGTGAGCACACGGCGAAACATCTTGGCGGGGATGGTGTGCACCTCGTCCAGCACCACCAGTCCCCACTCCTGGGCCTGCAGCCATTTCATGGTCTGTTCCGCTTCCCAGGAACGCCGCTGGCCGTGCGTGATCATGGAATACGTGGTGATTAGAATGCCCGCGCCCATCGGCTTGTCCTTCGCTTCTGATGTGAACCTGGGGCAGAATTTTTCGATTTAAGGCCTATTCAAACCTGTGGGTCTAGACAAAGTGCAAATTATAATCGCAAACCAGTCGAAAAGCCCCTTTTTTGTATGGAGTTTTGACGGATTCGATTTTCGATTCGATCAAAAAGTGCGTTTTGTCTAGGAGGGCTGAGCGATATTCGCTGCAGCTGTGGGTAGAGGTACATACCACGCGGGTTTCGCTCAGGTATTTAGTATCAAGTACCGCGGCAATACCGCTTAGGTCTGAACAGTATTATTACCACATACCCACTGGGTTTTCTCTGCCGCAGACGGTAGCGAATACCGCATAGGTCT